GAGATCCAGTCCCTGTCCTGGGGACCTCACAGTCTGATGAAGGAGGCAAACTCAGAAACAAAACAGGTAGTTCTGGGATAGACAGAGGCATACACAAGGTACTGTGGTCTAACTCTGACTGGGGCTACCAAAGAGGGCTTCCTGAAGGAGATGGTATCTGAGCTGAGAAACAAAGGCCTGGCAACTAAGGGAAGGCAGAGGGGGTGGCTGAGGTAGTGGGGAAATGTGGGGACTCTGGCCAGCAGGGCCAGGTGCAAAGGCCTGGGGCCCAGCGAGAAAGGCCGGAAGGGGATCTTAAGATTTACCACAGCTATGATGGGGTATGAGCAGAGGTGAACCCAGGAACCAGGTGGAGGAAGAGACTCATGGATCTCTAGAGGAGCCTAAAGGCCATAGCTACAACATTATCACTGACATGGCTGGAGGGGGCGTAAGTCAGGAGGCCAAGGACACGGCTGACGCAGGTGTACCCGCTGTCTTCTAATCACACGGGAGGAGGGATGGGAGAGGAGCAGGCCTGGGGAATAACCTCTGGGGCCCGGGCACACTGCTGTGGCCACCTTTCGGATGAGGAAAGCAGGGTGGATAGAGCACCAAGGCAGAGCAATGAAATGAAGGAGTCAATGACACCAAGACCCATGAGGCCTGGGGGCGGAGGGGAGCACAGAGATGGGGGCGGAAATAGGGCACGCCAGCGTGAACTAACAGAAGACCTTCTCCCAAAGGCTGCCCAAACATCCTGAGGAATAGACTGACTGGTGAATACAGGGATTTTTTTCATGGGGATGAAATAAGCTGTGACATTTAACATAAGGGACTGCTGCAGGCAGCACAGAAAGACGTCACTTCCCAGCAAAAAATCATGAGGCTGGCATTTCCGGTCCATGCAGGAAGATCATTCCCTGTGCAAGGAAGTCTGCTGGCTGGTGCTGAGGCTCAGGCTTCTTCCACTGGGAGCTCAGAGCCCACATGGGGTCTTTATTAGCACGGACATTGCTTGTCCCCTGCTCAGTGTGGATTCAACCAGGCAGCCTGGGGGTGACCTTCAGAGCTTTCTGTCCTGCCCCCTACACACACATACACAAAGCCTGGGTACACAGACACGCTTGCCACGTGACCCCTGGGCTCTCCACCTCTCAGCAACTGGCTAAAGCCTCTGCCCCACCCATTTCTGACAAGATGTATCTACTTCTCTCACCGGTGCCCCATCATGGCACCCAGGACCTGGTACTCCCTCCTGCTGGCCACTCCTGTCAGCCCCCACCCCAAGGCCTCATGGGAAGGCCGTTTGTGGGGCTTGCCTCCACTGGAATGGACCCTGCTCATGGAGACTGATGGCTGGACCTGGAGGTTTGTATTTTTCCGAAGCCTCCTCAATTGACCTTTAATTACACTGTTTGCCCAGCTCTCAAACCATTAACTTCCACCTCACAGCAACCGCACGTCAATTAATGGAGGGCCTGCTCCAAGCTCGAGCTCTTGAACACAATTAAGCGTGACAGTCCACAAATAAGAAAGGACTGGAGAATTAATTAAGGTCTAAACAAATTAATTACCAGTCCCCAATCGATTCTGATGCCAACACACACCGTCTTTCCTAACATGTCCATGTATAAATAGAAACTGAGATTTCTCACATGATTGCTGTTCTAAACCAGGGCGCAGCAAGGCTCTGAAACCACCTTGATGGAGAGAAGTGGCTACAGTGAGTGTCCTCGGGGCTCCCCACATACTCCACACATACACACACACACATGCACACACACATGCACGCGCAACCCTGGCTGGAAAACCAGGGGCGAACGTGGAGATGGAGTGCTCCTGGTAGGACACCGAGCCACCTGTTTCCTGGCTGCAGGGCTGAGGGGTTATTCAAGTGGGCTCAGAGTAGCCCTGGGCTGCTCCTTCGAGGCCTGGCCTTTGGCCAGCTCAGGATAACTTTCAGCAAGTCTGAATTTATTTATTCTTCTGTAAATGGGATGGCTTGCTCTGCCTCAGGGTCTTCCCAGAGAGGGAATGAGGACAGTTGAAGGAAACAGAGGCCTGCTGGGGAAATGAGGAGCACTACGGAGCCCTGGGAGTACTGGGCTCTGCAAAACCAGGGGAGGCCTGCAGTGACTGTCCAGCTGTCCCAGTGGGATGGGAAGTGGCTGGAACAGGGCCTGGTCCGAGGTAAGAGAAGGGTGGGAACAGCAGAATCAGGTGCGAGAACCAGGCGTCCTGTGCTGGGAGTTGCAGGTCTGCCCCTAGGGCCCATGTGGGGGGCCCAGTGCAGACAGGTGTCCTCTCACCTCCCAGACTTCAGACTGCAGCAAGAGGAGCTGGGCAGAGCGGTGGTGGAAGCAACTGACATTCAGGAGCCCCTTGGTTCCCCCAGAGCCTGCGTTTCCAGCCCGCCCAGGGCAGACAGAGTATAAATGTGGCCTCTGAGCACAGGGCACACAGGCCCCTCAGGACCCTTTCTCACCCAAAGGATCCCCTTCTGCTCCCTTCTCCTACACACATATCCCAACAAACAGAGCTTAACCCAATCCTTTCCACTTGCCTCAACCTACTTCCCTTGTGCACTCATGGCTCAGTGAGTCCTGTCTCCCCATCAGGACAGGGTCTAAAGGGACAAGGGACCCTCTACAAGGTAAAGCAAGTCCTCAGCAAGCCTCTCGGTGGCCTTAACAGTGGTCTGGCCTAGTCTGGCTCAGCCTGCTGTGGCAAGGAAGGGTGTATGCCTGGTGGGACCTAGGCTTAGAGATGCTCTGTCCTGGCCAAAGGCACCTGTGGATAAGGTGGAGGGAGGGCAAGCACACGAACTAGATGGTGGCTTGAAAAGAACAGGAGAGTGAGGTATTTATCTTGTACACCACCGTGTCAGCATTGATCAGGGGAGTTAGCAGGTGCCCATTTGCAGATGGGCCTAGGATGGACATTGGGGGCCAGAGAGATGGAAGCCTGCACGTGGGCAGGAGAGAATGGAGCAGGGGGTGCAGGCAGGCAGGCACGCAGCCAGGACTTGAGCGCAGACCTGAGGAAGCAGACAGAAAAGGCCTGCTTCACTCAGCATCCTGGCGATCCAGGACTGTCAGGGCTGCATACTACACCGTGTGCAACCTGTGCAACTGGCTAGGGATATGAGGAAACTCTGGACCCTTCAACAGTGGCTGGACTAGCCTGAGAGGGCCGTAGGCTCCTCCTTGTAAAGAAGGCAGGAAAGGAATCAGTCTGGAGCCCAAAGAGGGACTGGTCAGAAAGTCTGAGTTAGGTATGGCAGAAAGGGTCAAACCTGAAGGCAGAACCCTCCTCCTGAAGGACCCTCAGAGAGGTTAAGGCCACCCCACAAGGTCACACAGCAAGACAGCCAGTGAGCAGGGCTGGAATGGGCCTGGTGAAGTCCTTGTTGTAAGCTTGGCTCAAGGACAGATTACATCTCAGCTGAGTCCCAGATCCAGTTCAGTGCAGCTCAGAGCTGCCCCCTTCTCAGGCTGCATCTAACCCTCCAGCCCAGGATGGCGGGGACCGCAAGAACCGCAGCCGTGTCCATTCAATTAGGCCCCTTAACAAAGTCAGATCTAAAGAGTTATTCCATTAATGGCCCACACCAGAAATAGCTGAGAGTTCATTAAAAGTGTGGAGTTGCTATAGTAATTATCTGGGTTGGCTGAGGTTCATTGAGGAGGTTGTTCCTGGGAGTTCGTTAGCCTCTGGGCCACCAAGAAGGTAGGGCTGCCCAAGAATGATCTCCCTGAGGCCTTTCGAGCGCTTCGAAGCACTTTCCTATGAATGGAATCTGGTCTGTGGTCTCCTTCGATCCTCCCACAGTTCTGGGCTGTAGGAAGGTAGGTACTGGTGCCCCATTTTATAGATGGGGAAGCGGACACCTGGAGAACAAGATCTGGACCATGCACCTGAGTTTGACTCCCAGTTGATCAGATTGAGCCTTGGCATCAGGGAGGTCACGGGACCCCACACCTCTCCTGGGCTGGCCCCCATCTTTGTCCTCTGGCATCATATGGGGAACTCCGTGTCATGCTTCAAACAGTGGCTTATACTTCTGATGACTGATCGCAGACTGCCTCATGTTTCTTTCGATGTTGTTTCTTTTTAATTTTCAAAAAACTTTCCACTGTGGCACCCCAAATAAGGCGTAGGCCTCTTAAGAGCCAGGCTGGGCTTTGTGGGATCCCTGGGCCCAGGCCTGCGGCACGTGTTGTGAGCTCAGAGACTCCAAGACCAGCAAGGACTCAGCTGAAGGCAGCAAGTTCCCCTCCCACACATGCATGCACCCACAATTACAAAAACCTAAAGGGCCCACACAACCCAAGGGCTTGGAACTCCAGACTAGAGGGAGCTGTGGACGTTCTTTTGTGTCAGGAACCCCTGGGACAGTCCGGTGAGACCTATGTGCCCCTTTCTGAATAATGTCCCTAAATGTATAAAATGAAAGACATAGGATTACAAAGGAATTATATTGAAATAAGTTGCCAAACTATTTTTTATGTTGTGTTATAGTAATAGATTTGCTTTTTAACTAATGAATTAAAAAAACAAGACTTACCAGTGAATCTATTAAGTATAATTTTGATTTATGGACAAATTTTGATTTAAGTATGTACGATATTTTAAGATCTCTGTAACAACTATAATGGGACATGAAAATGTCTGTGATATCTATTGGTGACAGTCACAGGACCTGCTCCTTACTATGGTTTGCTGTCTACATTCATAATGGAAGGAAATGTTAGATTTCAGCTAGAGGCTAATGTAAAATTTTCCCCAACCACATTCACAAGGTCCACTGCATTCTATCTACTGACCCTTTAAGGGCCTGTAAGAATCCCTATGCAGAATTTTGGGCACAGAGGCCCATCACCTTTCTTTCTAACTGCTTGTTTTGTTAGAACTGTCCCTGTCAGGGAACATCCCCGCCCCCGCCACAGTCCAGCCAGCTCTGCAAGTGCCCCGCAGCCCCACACACCCAGGCGTACTCCGCCTCCTGCAGGCCTTACCTACAGCGGGAAAGGGCACAAATCTCTGCACGAGAAGGCGGGTGGCTGGGGTGAACTTGTTGGCTTTCTGAACCAGGACATTAAGGCCCACCTTGGAAGGAGAAAACAGAAAAAGCGCATGGTGCTGCAGCCGCCTGTGGGAGGAAGGGGCAGACGGGGGTGGGGGTGGGGCAGGAGGTGAGGGGCGCAGTGTCCTCTGCGATTTCACCCCCAGACCCTAGGTTGCAGAACTCCAGTACAGCTGTTTAAAGCACTACTGCCCCGTCATGCCAGTTAACCGGCTCATGAGAAAGAGGGAGAGAGGTAAAGCTACACACACACACACACACACACACACACACACACACACACACAGCCTCTCTGGGGAGGGGAAAAGGTGGTGGGGTGGTTGCTGCTGCAAATAAATAAAGTCTAGGACCTCCTCATTCCTATCCTCTTTCTGAGGCCCTACTGTGAGCCCAGGCTTGGGCCTGGCCAGACCACAAGGACCACAGGAGAGGGAGAGCTACACATCTGTCCACAGGTGCCTGCAGAGCTAAGCAGAGCAGCCTGCAGCAGGACATGGGGGGTGGGGGGTGCAGGGGACATCCTGGGCTCACTGGTTGTCTTTACTCAGATACCAGCTCCCCTCGCTCAGCCCAGGACACCAGAGTCCCTTTGCCTTTGCCTTGGGCGCTCCCCACTCTAGCCCACCCCCATGCTGTCCTTTGTCTTTCTAGGACACAGGTCCAATTGCATCTACCACCACCAGCTCCTCCCCATGACCTGTTCTAGAAGGTGCAGTCTCCTATGTGCATCAGTCTTGGCCTCCATAACCCTGCACCCCCAACGACCCATGTTCTCCTTCCTCGAGTCCAGTCTGCTGCTTATCAGATGCTACATGAGCTTTCCAGCCCTGGGGCCTTGGCCTACGCTGGCTCCTATGCCCAAGACGCCTTCCTTCCTTCCTGTGCTCAGTCCACCTGTTCTTTTAAGGCTCACCTCTGAGCTTCACCTCCAGTATCGCTTACTAACAGTGGGATTCCTTTTAGTCATGAAGTCATTTAACCTCTGCCTCAGTTGCCTTGTCTGTAGAAAGGGATAGTAATATCTACAGCAACCCAGGGCTGCTATAAAAATGTGTATAAGTGTTTAGCATGAGCCTGGCACATAAGACTCAATAAATGAAGCTATATAAGAACGATGTCGCCTCTCCCCCGCAGAAAGTCCCTCCTTTGCACATCACCAGTCCCTCCTTCCCAGCACTCAGTACACTGCTCATGGGTGTGATGATGTCCCTGCCAGATTGTGAGAGAGGGACCGTGCCTTTTTCATCTTCCTGTGCCCAGCACTTAGGGCAGTGGATGGCATGTAGTACATGCTGAATACAGTGTGACTGAGGAATAAATGCATGAACCAACAGATGAATGAATGGAGAGATCAGAAAGGCTGGAAGAAAAAAGTGAGATTAGTCTAGGCAGAGGAAAAAAAACCTTTTGGTGGGGCAAACAGCACGAGCATAGGCATGGAGAGAGAAAAGGCAAGATGCATGTGTCCGGACCAGAAGACAGATATGTAGAGGCCTCTGCTCCCTCACCTGAGGCCAGAGCCAGCCCCTGCCCTCTGCCCTGTAGATAATTCCTGGCCTGAGGGGATCTGGAGCTTTCTGCTCTGGCTCTGACATACCTTACCTGCTGGCTCCGCAGGCCACCTGCACTCATAGCCCTGGCTCTGGCCTCAACCTTCTGCATTGTTGGGAAAGATGCTGAGCTTTGGGAAGGCCTCCAGGGTGGCCCGGTACCTGCGGCAGTCAAAATGGGGCACTGCAGAAATGGCCCAGTGACTCAGAAAGACAGGAAGTGCCAGCCCGCCAGCCCCTGAGCAGCCCAGGGCCCGACGGAGCCAGAGTGCTGTTGGGCAAACACAGCCTGGGCCCTTGAGTGCCTGGGCTCCATTTGAAGCCTCAAGCTGAGGCTCAGAGTCCAATCCTTGTTGTCTCTGCTTGTTCAAGGGAAGGCTGGGAGGCAGAGAGATGCGTGGCAGCTTGGACACACTTCAGTGGTTTGGTGGGGCGGGCAGGGGGACTGCCGGCCTACACTGCCCTGCTTCAAGGCTGCCCCTGTCACACATGCGGAACTTGTCAAGTCTAGGTCCCCGGCTCTCAGCAGCGAGTGACTGTCTATTTCTGTGACTCAGGAATGGCCCCCAAATATCAGGGAACATGTTCCCATAAAGTGTAGAGAGGGAAAGTGCAGAGGAACAGGCTGAAGGACAGGCAGGCAAGTATCGGAGATGAAGAGGAGGAGGAGCGAGGGGTGTGGGGAGATGCCAGGCCTCCTGCTGATGCCAGGCCACATAAAGTACCTTAATTGAATTCCCACTACAAGCTTTTAGATAGGGCATTACCCCTTCTTACAGATTTAGAGAAGTTCAGGCAGGTTCAGAGAGGTTAAGTAACTCTGTCCAGGGATAGACAGCTATTATGAGGCAGGTAAGCTAGGACTGAACCCAGCATCTGCAGACCCAGTGGTTCGTTCTTAACCACGGTGCTATTTACTTTCCAATTGTTTTCCACCTTTGAATACCCACCACCCTCAACCTCAACCGCCACAGCTGGAAATCAGAAGGTCTGTGTTCAAAACCCCACACATTCAACTGAAAAGATGCTGAGTGCTGGAGTGGTGGGGAGCAGGAGCCCCCCAAGAAGCCAGCAGGGAGTTTAGCCCCTTCCCCTGATAGCCTCTTGGGGGTGGGCAGGGCTGGAGTGTGGCGGCCTTTGCTTATAGCAAACACTCGGACTTACCCCCCGCACCCTAGCTCCCCCAAGTCTTCCCATCCCTGGCTGGGATAGTATTGTCCAGAGTGAAGGACCCAGCTTGCCTCCCTCTACCCAACGTGGGAGCCCAGGGTAGGGAGAAGGAAAGAAGAGAGAAAACAATAGAGTCCACAGCCCGGGTCCCAGGTCTCTTCCCGCCTCCCCTTCCTCGAAGCCCATGGGCATTTCCCCAGCACAAATGGAGTGAGACTTGGTGAGGGACACACATGTTTCTGAGGGCATGGCCTACATGCCGGAGTCCAAGGAAGAAGATGAGGACCAGCAAAGTGGGGAGAAGGCTTTGGGCTCCTGTGTAGCCCACTCGCCCACCTGCCCACCCCCTGATGATAAGCCAGGTGGCAGAAAAGCGTGAATACGGAGGAGATAAGTGACCACTCACCTCTGCTCACCTCTGCTCCCCCCGCAGCTCCCAGCCCAGGCCTACTGTCCCAGCAGCTAGGATGGCCAGAGCCTAAGAAAGAACTGGGCGGGCTACAGTCCCAGGGGTTGGGAGCCCGTCTGTTCTGGTTCCTTGCTGGCCCTTTGGCCTGGAACATTTGGTGGAGCCCATTAAAATTAAAAAGCCAAGTAGCTGGTGGTTCTGAATGCCAGCTCGTTTTCCCTGGCATGGTGGGTCCTGTTTAAGGGAACCAGCTGGCATTAATGGCACACAACTCATCATAAACAGCAGCTAGCGATCAGAAAAATCTGAGCTAATAATCGGGTTTGGGAAAGATAATGAGATATGGAACAATCACTGCTGAGGGTCCCCTAGGGTCTGTTTTAGCAGCCTCCAAATAAGCCACAAAATAGAAATTAACCAAACAGGGGCTCCATTTGGGTGGAGGGGAAAACAAACAGGGTGTGGATTTTGCACAAGAATTCCCATGTGGCCAGCAGACTAGGGTCCTGGGAGAAGCCAGAGCCCAAGATCCTCAGGACATCAGCAAAGCCCTGAGGAAGCAGTGAATCTTCTCTGGCCACTTCTAAGCTCCGGCTCCCAGGCCAGTGAATTTGCCACAGGCAGCTGACAGGAGCAGAGGAAGAGGACAGAAGACTATCTTCCTGACAACCCCCTGCAGTGGGGATAAGTGTTGACCAGCGCCGAGAACTGGGGTGGGGTGGGAGCTCCATGACACAAGACATTCAACATCATGAGCTACATGCCTGAGAGCTGTCTCCTTAAGTATCAATGTCTTTCCCAGGCCAATAGCAGCTTAATTTCTTCAAGGCCAGCAAGGAGACACCACATAGGGCTTGAGCAATGCATGCAGCCCTCTCTTACTCAGGCTCTCTCCTCCAGCCCACAAGTCCCATCCCCTGGAGGATGCCTCTGTTTCAAGGAGCTTCAGGCACTCCACCTTCACACACCCCAAACCAAGGTTATTTTGCTCTTTCTCACCTGTGCCTGATCCTCCTCTCCCATTCTCAGCTCACTCCTAGGAGCCCTCCCGGACAGGAGCCCCTCCCAGCGCATATCCCACCCACCGTCCCACGCCCAGCCCATCCTGCAGAGCTACCTGTCCCATCTCTTGGATATCTTGAATATCTTTCTCTGCTCCCTCCACTTAGCTTAAGCACCAGTCTCTTCTCCCTGGATGACTGCCCCCCTTCTAACTCAGCTCCCGGCTTCCACTCTTGCCCTCTTCCACTCCACTCCACACGGCAGCCAGAGTGATCTCCTAACAATGGATACCAACTTGCTTTAGCCTTTCGTTGGCTTCTCACTGCGCTTACAGACCCTCACAGCCTTGGGTGACCACCTGGCCTTGCTTGCAAGGCTCTAGCTACCTCACCATTGCCCTGGCTCCTCCGATTAAACAATTTTCTCTCTTTTACTCCAACCCCCATCCCCCCATATCGCCCCCCAGAGCCTCCAAGCACTGCCCCTTTCCTTGGCCTCCTCTTTGCTTAGGGCTCCCTTTTTATAGGCTCTCACAGAACCTGGAACTCTTCCTTCCATGTACCTATCATGGTCTCTAAGTATATATTTGTTTACCTTCTTAAAATGTTGTAAATCAAAGTAATACATGTGTGTGGTTAAAAAACTGAACTTCACAGAACAATTTTTACCTATGGCCTCTTTACCAAATATCTCTCCCAATAGGCTCTAAGCTCTGGGCTCAGGGGCTCTGTCTCTCTCATTCCTCACTGACTTCCTGGTGTCTGGTGAAATGAGGTGCTTAACAAATGTTTTTAGAATAAATCATGTGATTTCTGAAGCAGGAGGGGAAAAAAACAGAGCCACAAAGGAGACTGGCCTTGTGCAGTCACTGCTGTCCACTTTAGCAGACAGC